GTACCAAACTTAATGGATTTAAGTTACTGATGATTTAATATGGAAAATGACTGATTTAAATCACATGGATTTCATATGGTTCTACTATATGACTAAGTTTAGTTCCAACCTAATTACATATCATCTAGGACCAGTCAATGTCAGATTTGAATATAAAAAATGTGTACTGTTTTTTTTTTTTGAAGGAATATACTGTTTCTAATTTTTGGAACATGCACTCAAGTGTTTTGTTATTTACAAGTTAAAGAAACTGAGCAGTTTCCTACCTTATTGTTGACTGTCAACAGTTCTCCATTGTTTTTTTTTAAAGCAGCATTTCTTATGTTCCAACTTATTTTTCAAAGTTCAAACTTCCTAATGTTTTTGCTGCTATTAAACCTATGTTGCTTGGTGTGATGTGGCAATTTAAATCGACTCAGAACAACAGCTTTCTCTGATAGTTGTTTACATTTTTATGTTTCAGCATTCTCATTGGTTGGAGCAATACCTTCTCTCTGCCACATGTGTGATAGTTAAACAGGAAGTGGGGTGCTGAGGGGCTGTAAAACGTTTCCTGTTATACAGTCTGCTATATACGCATATATGCTTTGATATTCAGAATAGTTCTGCTAAAACAATCACTAACTTAGAAGAAAGCAAACCAAAAGATAATATATTTGACTAAAAGAGAAAATGAAATAGCACTGTAGTTTCCCCACTGCAACAATGATCCAACAACCCTTTCGCCCAACAAAAAAAAAGAGAGAAGAGGATGTTTATAGAACACAGTTTAAAAATGTGCATATCTCCTGCAGAATGATGAACCTAAACAGTTACTACTGAATTGTGAGATGTTTTGAGTCTATTTTGAACAATGGGCATTGCTCTGATGATCTATTTGTAGCTTGAAAAATGGGCTCTTTTTAAGTCCAGCTGTGTTTTTCACTCAGCAAGTGGCTCAGGGACATCAAATTATACTATAATGTACTGACTGGCAGACACTGATCTGAACGCACTGGCTCCTGGTTTGGAATATAAATGATCACTGCAGCTTTTGCCAAAAGTTATTTGAGTCTTTTTCCAAAGCACAGCTGGCCCATACAGAACTAGGAAAGAGGCTACTGTGCAGCACAATCATTCCAATTCCTTAAAGTCCCTTTAGGCTTTGGAGCCCAGCAAGTAACTGAAAAAGACAACCATCCTTTCTGCTCCAGCCTGCCTTCATACAGAGGTACAGAACATATAATTTTACAAAGGGTTGTTTCTTCCCTTCACTCTTATGTTAAAAACTTTTTTTAAATAAAAGTTTTAAAAATAGAGGAGCGTTGTCTTTCTGTGCTCTAGAATGTCCTAAACAGCTACACAAAAGAACCACTTTTTTAAATGACTGTGGGAGACAGGTAGCACTATATTACTGGAATGTTGCCACAGTTCTCTGCTATTTGCTCAATATTTTTGTTCTTTTCTGTGCATATTTTCCAGGAAATCTGAACACATAAAGATGAGCATACAGAGTAGATGGGATGGGAGGCCACATACAGTACATAGGACTCTTTCATGAAATAATACTTGAATGCTGGCACTTACATAGCAAACATTTCAAAATACTACCTAACAATCCATGTTTCTTGTAACTTTCAGAAGATATATCAAAATATGTATGAAATCTAATGTACATTAGGAAGCTAGCAAGATATAGTAGTTAAGAATTCAAAATCATAGGGCAGGAAGGGAGCTTGAGGGTCTTCTAATCCAATCTCCTTCTCAAGACCATCCAAGCCATATGGTTCCAGTCTATTTTTGAAAACCTGTAGTTATGGAGTACCCATAACCCCAGGAAGCATGGTATTCCATTGATTCTCTCACTTTCAGAAAATTTCTCCTTACTTCTAGGTTGCATCTCTCTTTGACAAGCTTTTACCCATTACTTCTTGTCCTGGCCTCTGGTGCTCTAGAGAATAAGTCAATCCCCTCTCGTGACCCGTCAAAACCGCGGTCCACTAAAGCGCGCCCGATCAAAGCGCGTACGTGACGTCATCAGCAGCGCGACAAATAAAATTAAAAATAAATTAAATTAAAATTAAAATAAAATTAAAGCAAGCCGATTCACATAAAGGTAAGGGTTAGGTTTAGGGTTAGGTTAAGGGTTAGGGTTAGGGTTAGGTTTAGGGTTAGGTTAAGGGTTAGGGTTAGGTTTAGGGTTAGGTTAAGGGTTAGCGTTAGGTTTAGCGTTAGGTTTAGGGTTAGGTTTAGGGTTAGGCTTAGGGTTAGGTTTGGGGGGGTTAGGGTAAGGTTTTCGCGTTAATTTTAAATTTACCGCTCAGCGTGCCGTTTTCGTCACGCTGTGATGACGTCACGTACGCGCTTTCGTCGAGCACGCTTTAGTCTACCGCGGATTTGTGGTGGAACCATCCCCTCTTCTTCATAACAATCCCTTAAGTACTGGAAGACATTTATCAGGTCCCCACTGATCCTTTTCTTCGATAGGCTAGACATGTATAGGTCTCTCAACTGTTTGTCATATGATTTAGCCTTCAGACCCTTTATCGTCGTTGTCTTCTGTGCAACTTTTCATGGTTTCAAAAACCTTTTTGTATCATAGTGACCAGAACTGAATGAAATGTTCCAAGTGTGGTCTCACCAGTGTGGTGTAAAGCAGTACTATCACTTCTCATTGTCTTGACATTATCTCTCTATTGATGCAGCATTAGCTTTTTTGGCAGCTGCAGCAAACTACTGGATCATACTTAAATGGTGGTCTACTAGGACACCTCCATCCCTCTTACAGTTACTGCTGTTAAACTAGGTACCACATATTCTATATCTGTACATTTGGTTATTCCCCCCCCTCTCTCCCTCTCCCTCTCCACCCCCAACCTTATAGGATTGTTGTGGGTAAAAAAAATAGGAAGCGTTATATATGCCATTTTATGAGCAAAATTCAAACCAAAAGATGGGCTATAATATTGTGGGTTGGAAAATAAGACATAAGCAATCAAAATACAAGAGAAAGACTTATATAAGTGGTAAAATGTGGAAAGGCAAGCTATTTAACAAAATTGCAAGCACCTGTGCTGCTTTCTTTTCCTCCCATTTGAGCCTTTCCCTCAGGGTCAGCACGGCAGAGTTGCCAATAAAACTACAACATTGATCCAGTGGGGGGAAGAGAACAAGGTACCAGCAAACAAGGTACCTTGGGCATTAACGAGAAAAGAAGAAATCTTAAAAAAGAAGAGATTTAAGGCAGAACAGGCTTAAGAAAGAAATGATGAAGCATGCTAGTAATAGTATACAGATTATTAGCAGGTAATTGTAATAGAATACTAGTTATTAAATGGTAATAGTATATCGAGCATAGTATAAGCTTTGTCATGGTATAGTGTAATGGTAATTATTTGTTGAATTTGAAAAGCATCCATCTCGCTAATAAGCAACTAGGCAGTGTACAATTAAAACAAAAATGAATTGTATTCCAGTGGGAGTCAATTAAAACAAGGATAAAATTAATAAAGTTAAAAAGATGAAAGGAGGGTCTTCAAGACACCAACCCAAGGTTATATGTTACTTTGTGAACCCAAGTGAGTCGGCAGAATGAGATCTTCAGATACTTCTCAATGGCCAGCAGAGTGGATGCCCGACACGTATTACTCAGTAATAGTTTGCAGTTGCAAAAGAATAGAATATATGAGAGTTGCACATCGCTTTTATATGATTTTACAAAATAAACCATTTCCCCAAACCTTACAGGGAAATATAAAGAAACCAAACTGGGTCAGTCTAATTAGATATAGTCTAAGAAATAACCAGTAACAATTGGTGATAATGCTGGGATTCGCTCAGACTCAAAGGATTCATTAAATACTGTACATGAAAAGTAAACATCTATAGAAAAACATAGCTGCGTCTTATAAGACCTGCCTGGATCTTTTGGCATACAACATGAAGAAATGTAAAGATGTAAGGGAAGGACATACAAATAATGTATTTTGCTTCTGTTTATATGAAATAGAAAAGGGGAATTTTGTTGGGTTCGTGGTGCTCTCTGGGGTTGTTTTCTTGCAGAGTTTTTATGACCAGACTATGTAACATCAGTGTGATGAAGAGTGGGGTTTGCTGTGTGCTCATTTTGGACTGCATAAATACTAGTACACAAATGATAACTCCAGACCACATAAATATGCTGATAACTACATCAACATTACATCTAAGAAAAACTAAAAAAGGGGAAAAAACTGTGAACCAAACCAGCCTTGGAAGCAGCATTCCAAAGAACAGGACTGATTGCAGATACCTAAGAAAACATAATACACATTTTTAAGGCAGTAGGAGATAGAAACAATAGTAATTTGGAAGTGTGGTGTTCTCTTGATTCATGAATAAAGCCGTATTTTACCAGAGCCAAATGTAAATGTGTCTAATGTAGCTTAATATTTAAATGTGACAGATGAATATAGAAAATAACTTTAAAAATTGTATTCATCTGAAATTAAATTAGTAGATTTAACATGACAGACGTTTGTAAAGCTACTTTCTTACAAACATGTTATTATCCCCAGCTTGCAAATGTGTTTGAGCTTTGTACTGACATTTCGCGACGGTGTATTTCGAATGTATTGTTTCATTGGGACCACTGTTTACAACCTTCTCCTCCCCAGGACAGAGAATGCTTCAGAAATCAAATGGCTAATTATCAATAACAATTATCGATCAAATCAAATGTTCAAGACACTGATCACAGCTTTTCCTAAAAGTAGGACCCACCAAATCTAAGGGCGGCAATAGCCAATTACAATTACATTCCTCTCGGTTCATTTGACTTCAGACTCATGGGAACGGTAGAGTTAAACCTGCTCATTACTATTACCGAGTTTATTTTGTTTAAGAGCATTCCCATCCCGCGTGTTTAAGGCGGAGTAACAGTTATCACAACCCAATTCCCCGTAGGGCCGAAAACGCGCTTTCAGCCCGCCTTCTACGTCTCGAAACTACAGGTTCCACAAGACACTGCGCAGCGGCGCATGCTCATATATACTCCTATGAATCCAAGATGGCAGACCCGGGGACTGGTGGGTCTAATACCTTTAGCACGGTAAGGATGGATTCCGGGAAACTGGTTTCTTTTTGTGGTACATCCTGTACATTAATCAAGTTGGGTTCTGGTAGCCTTCTCAGGCTCATCTCGCAGCGTCTCGGTTGGGGCGGCGAGAGGTTCCGAGCAGGGGAGGTTTCTGTTCTGACACAATCTTTAGAGGCGAACCATTTATGATTTGAGGAATCCTTTGATTCTGATTGGCTCCAGAAACTGTCTATCCCCCCCCCTTTTTTTTTTTCAAACGGTTCCGAATCGAGGGACGGAATTAAGTTGCTCTGCAGATTTCCCAAGTGTCTGCAAAGGGCGTGATAAACGCCTGGCATGTACGGTGGCATCCCAAACATGCACACAGCTGAGATCGGCAAATGCATGTTTAGGAAGCCAAAACTTAAAATATATATCTTTCCCCCTTTTATTTTACTAGCTCTTTACACAAGCGTTGTCCACCTGGTGCAACAGTTCTTTTATTCATAAAGTTAAGGATTTTGAGCGAAAATACTACTAGATTTAAAGCTGTTCTATGCGTCCAAACTCTGTCCCTGTCATACATGTGTGCAACTTCATGATGCATGTACAAAAAAGATGAAATTTAGATTTAGTGCAGGCTGTGCCTTTTGCACATTCTGAGGAAAAACCTAGATTTTCCTGGGATTGCATAGTAGTTTAGGAATTTAGGAAAGTACAGAGTGTACCAAGAGTCAGACCTCAAAGATCAATCACAATATTTTGATTTTATTCAAAGAAAATTGCTACACTTAGGAATGTTTAACAGTGTCATGGGTCAAATAAGTAAGGGAGTGTTTAAAAGAAAATGGCAACCAATCCAAACATTTATTGTAATTTATATAATTATAGGATCAAGCTTTTGGTACACCCTGCACATATTAGCATTTAGGAGGTGGTAAAAGAGTGGTGACATATGATTGCACCCTGCCAAATACCTCTAAACTCAAAACAAATATTTTGCTGAACCTGCAAGGCTACCATGTAAGATCAGTAAAAGCAATGCTCAAACAGATACAGAGGAGGTATCCATGGTGAGTTCAAAAGATCTTTTGACTTCTTTGGATCTGAATACTGTCCATTGCCAATGTGTCTCCTTGAAACTTTTTTTTTAAGCGCATCCTCCATCAGCAGAGTTGTCATAGTGTTGAGTTCTGGTGACTAAACTGTGTTGATAATTTGTGTGGCCTTAGACTAATTGGTCAACCTGAACTTGATATGAGAAGAGGAAAACAGTGCATATTTTAGCAATTTTATTGTCAGGTTTCATGAATTAGTAGGAGGAAGCATTTTTCACGGTTAAATAAGATTCTGCTATCTCCAAATGCTTACATTAATCATTTGTAATTGATTTTTATTTTTAATTGTACATTACATAAACAACAGAATATCTGAAATTTGAGTGGCATATAAATTATATAAACATTTTTTTGCTATAGTCACTGAAAGTGGATTGTGAAGAAAGTGCCTGGATTTTCACATCAGTAGTAGTTTGGGAGCACCTTTTCTGCCTAACAAAACTTTGGTTACAAACTCCTGATTTTTTGTTATTCAGAGTTTCAGACTATGGTTTACTGCTATTCACATATAGCAGTAAACCATAGTTGGCTTTGCAGAAGGATTGGGTTAATAGGATGTTATTAGGTTAATAGGATACACATAATGGCTTAATATTATATGCAAGTTAATCCATTTTGTCTTGTTCAGCAAATCACATACCAGTGCTGAAAAATCCTACTTTAGTGTGAGTTGTGAACCTATATGAATTTTTGTAAACTCTTTGATTAATAACCAAAACCACTCAATTATTACCCTTGTCATTTTCTGTATTTTTTGTGTTCTTCTTTCATTCATTCTGTTTTACCTGTTTTCTCTTTAAATAGCGATCAGGTAGTAAACATTCTACAACCCCAGCAGATAATTATTATCTGGCTCGAAGAAGGACTCTCCAGGTAGTAGTTAGTTCATTGTTGACAGAGGCTGGATTTGAGAGTGCTGAGAAAGCTGCTGTAGAAACCATGACAGAGATGCTTCAGAGCTGTGAGTATTCCCAATTATGATAATAGTGGTATAAATAATTTTTCCTCTGTGAAATCCATTAGTGTTTGAGAAAACAATTACCAAAACTGAATGAATAGCAAAAACACAGGCACTTCTACTCTCTGCAGTTCTGTTTATTTTGGAGTGTCTTGAAAGGATTCAGCAGTGTTGACTACATCTTCTGTGATTTGGCCAAACTGGGGGCACAGTTCATTGTGAGAATGCAGACAAGGCATATGAGAAAAAGACTGAGAATCTTCCTACTCCATCTTTGTGTTGGTTATTCAGCCAAAATTTATTTTGAAAAACTTAAATTATTTGGTCAGTTTCTTGACATTCTTATTTTAAAAAAGGAATGTTGCTCTTTTGCCTCATAGATCCCTCAGAAAAATAAATTTAAGGACTTGGTTGTTTACATTTATATTTGTTGGTAACAAATGGATAATGGGAATTCATTCTCCTTACAAATGTTCTGTGTACATATTTTTGGGATTTGTAATAGTAGGAATGATTTCTGCCATTTAATACCATTAATTGTTGTAGACTTGCTAAATATAGAATGGAGCTTCTTGATTGATTCTACTATAGAATCAAGTAAGAAACTCCATTCTATATTTAGCAAGTTTACAACAGTTAATGTTATTAAATGGCAGTACTATTTTTATAGAACTATTAGCATTATCATGCTGAACAAAAATGAACAATCATGGAATCCATTGCTTGCTTTAATTTTCAATTTAATTCAATGTACAATTTAACCTGTGAGATCATAGAAACATTTCACAACTCCTGCATATAGACTTATTCTTTAGTGTATTGGTGTTTTCATTTTGATTATGCTTGTAAGATTATGTATCTAGTTTGTTACATCCAGATCAAACTATATCTGTGTGTGTGTGTGTGTGTGTGTGTGTGTGTGTGTATATATACATATACACTCATACAGTTAGGAATCCTTTCACTTTATAATGAAACATATTGTATGTTTGCCTATTCATTCAGCCCTGGGAAATGCTAACATCCATTTTTCTTTAAAGTCTAGTTTGTTTAGCAATTCTTGAAACATAAAAATGAACCTCTTTGGTCAGCCTTTCTTGTTTTGCATTTATTTTAAG